CGCTCAAAACAAAACTGCTGCGGAGAGGCGAGGGCGCAACTTCTGAGCGCCAAAAGCGCGGTCCCTGACTATACCGCAAGGGATCCACCAGCGAGAGCAAGATTCCTGATCAGCGAGAACACGATTCCTGAACGCATGATGAGAAAGTCCCAGGCGAAAGCGATTCTCGGGTGAATTGCGAGAAAGCCTCTCGCGAGAGCGCGATGCCTGAATAGATTATGAGAAGGTCTCGTGCGGGCGCCGTTGTTGTGGTGGTCCAGGGGCCAGGGTCGCAGGTTGGGCAGGAGGACTCTTCTGTATAAAAAACTGGTGCGAGCATCGAAGAGGGCGCGTCAGCTGGAATCAAAACACGGGGCACTTCAGAAATGAGACGTCGACTACGAAGTTGAAACTGTTCGCTCTCCGTTGCTCGCGCGTCAGGTCAGCATGTATACCCCACGGCGCGCGGGCATCCTGCGAAAAGACCCCATGAGATTCAGCCGCGCGTTCGCTCGAAAAGCTGCTGTCGCAACTGAACGCACCGAGGAAGGAGCCCGGCCGCTCGATCGCGCCTCCGACCAAGACGTGCGATGGGCACAACTCGCTGGGGGAAGTATTACGGCGTTGTCCTCGTCTTCTCCCGGCAAGCATCCGACGGCAAACCCAGCTCACCCGAAATGCTTCACGTGCACATTCAGATACTGGAGGCTACTGTTCGTACGTCCGTCGACGACCGTCAACGCAACACTGCGGAACCATGGGCCGAAATAGTGCAATTTGGGGAATCCTATTGGACCCCTAACAAATCCTCAGGTTCCACTAGGGAACCGCCAGGGATCCTAGGAAAAGCCCCGGACTCTCTAGGGAATCCTCTAAACCCCCTTGGGGAATCATCAGGACCCCCCAGGAATCCTCAGGAAACCCTGGGATATCCTGATGAACCCTTAGGGAATCCTTCGGAAACCCTCGGGAATCATGAGAACCCCTAGGGAATCGTCAAGGATCCTTGGAGGAACCTGAGGACTCCGTAAGAAATCCTCAGGAATCCGTAGGGCAATGTGAGGAAACCAAAAGAAATCTACAGGAAGCCTTAGGGAATCCTCAAGAAGCCACAGGAAACCCTAACGAACCCCGTACGGCATCATCAGAAATGCCTAAGGGATCCTCAGGAATCTCTGAGGAATCCATCGGAAACCCTATGGAATCCTTGGGAAACCCTATGGAATCCTCAGGACTTCAAAGGAAATCATCTGGAACCGCTGGGGAATCCTCTGGAAACTCAAGAGAATCCCAGCGAAACCATGAGGATCAGTAATCGTGAGGACCCCAGGCAATGCTCGAGGTCCCGAAAGGAAACCTCGGGAATCTCTGGGGAACCCCTGGGAAACCCTAAAGATTCCTCAGGGCATCCGAAAGGACCCTGAGGAATCCGGAGGAATCACCAGGGAATCCTCGGGAATCCTTTGGGGGTTCCTCGGAAATTCTTTGGAATTCTAAGGCTTCCCGAAGCAGTCCTCAGGAACTCCTCGGGAATCCTCAGGTTGCTGGGTTGCTGGGTTGCTGGGGGGGAGGCCACCCTCAAAACCACCTTGTCCAACAACAACAACAACAACAACAACAACAACAACAACAACAACAACCAAAATCATGTTAAGACTGTTCGCTCTTATCCGCTCACGTGCTAATCAATACGTATATCCAAAACCCTCGGTACCCGCCCTCGTCGTCTTCGATCGTAACCCCTTGGGGGCATATCTTCATTATCTGCAACGTGTATTTAGTGCAGCCCCTAAAACAAGGGAAGAGAGGACGGGTGGAAGGGGGAGGGAGAATAATGGAGCACGAGAGAAATTTGCAGGAGGGGGGACAAGGAGCAGTAAACAAGTGGTATAACCAGACGGGCAGATCGAGTGGGCAGACCCGTAGCGGGCAGGTCGGGAAGGCGGGCCCAGGCGACCAGGTCGAGCAGGCGGGTTGCTGAGGCGTGGGTGGTCCTGCATGAATCGCGAGGAATTCTCGAGCGATAGCGCGATTCTTAAGTAAATCGTGAGAAAACCAGCGTGGGCCACGAAGGGCATAAAATCCGAGGCCACGGAGGGCAGCGACGGGGCCGCTGAGGGCAGCACCGGGGCCACGAAGGGCAGCGAGGGGGCCACAAAGGGCGACAGCGGAGCCACGAAGGGCATGCATATGGGGCCACGACGGGCGCGAGCGAGCGGGGGCCACGAAGGGCATTCGTATACGGGGCCACAAAGGGCGACAGCGGGGCCACTGACGGCAGCAAAAGGGCCACGAAGGGCAGCGAGGGGGCCACGAAGGGCGACAGCGGGGCTACGAAGGGCATGCGTATGGGGCCACGACGGGCGCGTGCGAGCGGGGACCACGAAGGGCATATAATGCGGGGCCGCAAAGGGCAGCGACGGAGCCACTGAGGGCAGCAACGGGGCCAAGAAGAGCAGCGAGCGAAGGCGACCGCGGAACCAGTACGGGCAGCGAGGGACATCGAAGGCGGGCGAAGGGCAGCGAGCGGCGACTGCAGTCATTGACGTGCTGGTCGGGCGGGCAGGCCCCGACAGGCGGGTCGAGCGGGCGGGTCGTTGAAGCGTGAGTCCTGCTTGAACCGCCAGGCAATATGCAACGGGAGCGCGGTTCCTGAGTGTCGAGGACCAGCATCTGAATACATTGAACATATTGTGAAGAAATACCAAGCGAAGCAGTTCGGTGATAAGTTGCAAGGAAGTTCCAAGCGAGCACGCGATTCTGCAATACATGCTCAAAAAAATCAAGCGGGAGCCGCGATTCGGTGGTACATTGCCAGGAAGTCCCAAGCGAGAGCGCGATTCCTCAACAAATTGTGAGGAAGTATCAGGCGGGGACTGTTGTTGTTCTAAGCCGGGAGCCAACGACACAGTTTGAGCTTCGAAACTTTCCCTGATGAAAAAACAAGGTGCGAGCCCTGGAAAGGGCACTTCAATCGACAAAAATGAAATGTGCACCGGGCGAGGGGGATCAACAATAATCATTCTTCATTAAGGAAAGCTCAACAACAAGCATTTTAAGACTGTTCGCTCTTACTGGCACGCGTGTCTTGCATTCCATATACCCCAACCCTCGATACCCGCCCACTTCGTCTTCGATTGCACCCCCTTTCGGGGGGAATCTCTTCCTTGTCGGCCACTGACTCAAGTGTGAAGAAGACTCGAGCGAGAGTGCCGTCCCTGAGTTCGGGAACCTCTCTGGCCAGGTGCTCTCGAAATACCTATGGAGAAACATCGAACGGGAGCCCTTGTCGCCGTGTCTGAGCCTCCACCAATTTGCCTGAATTGCAGGAAAGTCTCGAGTGAGAGCGCCGTTCCTGAGTTCGGGGGCGTTCTTGGCCAGGGGCTCTCGGAGGAAATCGTGAGGAAGTATCGAGCAGGAACCCTTGACGTCGTGTGGGCCTCCGCCAACTTAATTGAATTGCGAGGAAGTCTCGAGCGAGAGCGCCGGTCCTGAGTTCGGGGGCCTCTCTGGCCAGGGTGTCTCGGGGTAAATTGTGAGGATGTATCGAGCGGGAGTCGTTGTTGCCGTAGCTGGACCTCCAAGGGCCAACATTTTGGGTCAAGCCAACGCTCGAGCGGGAGCCTCGATTTCAGAGAAAATGTAGCCGGCGTCGAGGCGAGAGCGCGCGGAACCGCTTCTGGAGATCAAAAATAATTAGTCTTTATCAAGGAATACTAAACAACAATAATGACAACAACAGTAACAACGACAACAACAATGCTAAGAGTTTTTAAGATGAATGTCGCTACCATACTAACGATAAGAATGATACTACTTATACGACCCAGCACCATCACCACGAAGACCACTACTACGACTGCCACTACTACTCATGAGTCAATACTCATCCACCTGCTACCTCTTCCCTCTTCCTCCTCCCCCATCCTCTCCCGCCACGTCCTCCTAAGCATAACCGTCACAAAAATCTGAACCATTATCATTGTCATCCTAATCAGCATCATCATCATCATCATCATCATCAGCAGCAGCAGCATCATTGTCATCATCAGCAGCACCATCATCATCATCATCATCATCATCATCAGCATCATCGTCAATATCGTCAGCATCGCCATCACCATCCTACGCCTTCCTTCCACATCATCATCGTATCCATCATCATGCTCATCCTCGACATCTCTCTTCCTCGTATGCCCCCCCTCTCACCTGTCATCAGACCTCGTCCTACAACAAATCCTACTAATCCTACTCCTGATCGCCAAAATCCTGATTCATCACCATCAACGTCGTCGTCTACCTCATCGTCATCGGCATCATCCTCGTCACCACTATCGGCAGTCTTGTCTTCGTTATCGCCATGGTCTCCATCGCCATCCTCATCGTCGTCACCGTCATCGTTGCATCTGTGCCTTCGGCCTGACTACGGGGGTGGACAAACCTCCCCTTAGTAAACCTCCCTTTAATGAAAACGGCCTGGGACCGAAACCGACGGACCTGGACCCGCAAAAATGACGGCCGCGACGCCCTCTCGCAAACTGAAAACGGCCAATTCGCTAATCGACTTGTCAGGGTAGGAGGTCTGTCCACCCCCGATAATTACGGCCATGAACGGTTCGCAATACATTGACCCTCCTCGCAGCATGCGAATGCCAGAAAGGGAAAAGGCGCAACCTCCATCAACAGCATCAACAGCGTGCGCGTGTATCCTCCACCTCCTGGTCCTCCTCCTCCTCCTCCACCTCCTCTTCCGTCTCGTCATGATGAGATGATTCCTCCCATATCTCCACTCGTTCCTGCTTTTCCTTCTGCTTCCCCCACTTCCTCACTCCCTCTTCCTATACCTCGTCCTCCTCCTCCCCTTCCCTTCCTCTCTCTTACTGCCATTGCTCCCCATCCCAATCCCAGACCTCCTCCCCCCTCCCTCTCACCTCCCGCCCACCCCTCCTCTGTCCCTCTCCCCCCGCCACCTGCCCCCCCCACTCCCACCACCTCCCCCCTTCCCTACACCCCCTTCCTGCCCCCCCCCCGAAGAAGGAGAGGACAGAGACGAGCCAGCAGGCAGCAACCAGGCGGGGCGAGACGGTCTGTCCTCGTGCCAGCCCAACCCGGCGACCTCCAAAAACTTAAACATCTCTTGGGCGTCGCTTTTTGGGGGACGATAAATGGAGGGGGGATGAAGTCGGGCGTGTCCCCCTACAGGGGGATTTCCGACGAAACATAAGAAAGATTCAAAACATATTCCAAAATGGCCCGAAAGTACTCGAAAAAGAGTCCCCAGACTATTTTTTGACTATTTTTGAATATTCCCCCTGTTGAGGGACAGGCCCGACTTCAAGGGGGGGGGGGAGAAAGGCGCCCTTCGCGGGCCCCCGAGGCCCCGCTTGGGGCCCTACATAAAGGGACCCGCTGGGGCCCCGAAAGGGTCCCTTTTGCTGCAGCCCTCGCCGCCCCCTGATGTGTCGCGACCCCATCTCAGAGGCGACGATAGGGGCGAATAGCCCAGGGGAGAGCAATACTGCAGGTTCGTGCCGTGTCGACCCTGGCGTTGGTTCCTGACACCGCGCTGGATCGTTCAACCTTGAACGATCGGCCGTCTCCGCAACGTCCGATCGTTCAACATCGACCGATTCTGGGCCGCCGTCGGCGTTCAACCTTGAACGTCGGCGGCGGGGTCGCCGCTGGTCGACACGACGCGAACCTACCGTACATGTATCCAGGGGCGCCGATGATCTATATCGTTTATCAGGATCCAAACCATACTCTCTTTACATGTAGGGAATGTTATGCGGAATTCTTTTTTCGGGCTCACTTCCACTCAGTCAATTTACACATTCACCCATGCACCCATTCACCCATTTATTCAACCACGCGCCCACGCACCCGTTCACCCATTCACCCATTGACCCATGCACCAATTCACCCATTCACCCACGCACTCATTTACCCATTCACCCATTCACGCATGCACCCATTCACCCATGCACCCATTCGCCCGTGCACCCATCCACCCATTCACCCATTGACCCATTCCCCCACGCATCCATTCACCCCAAATCGCCACATTTTGCGCTTTCCCCATTCATCGTGCGCGACTTGAAATGGATTCGCGTGAGCACAACTGCGCGGGGGACTCCGAGGTCCCGCCGTTCTGCACGAACGCAAACATCTCGGGGGGGCACGCCCGCGACTCCGCCCAATCGCCCTCCTCCCACCTCCCCATCGCACTCTCCCTCCTCCTCCCCCCCTCCCCCCCCCCCTCCCCATCGCTCTCGGGTTCGCATAAAAATAACAAATAGCTACACCTAAAACCCTCAACACTTAACCAATTGATCAATTGATCCTTAAGCCCGGGCCCAAATGGCTCCGGGAGACCACCCAAAAGGTTTTCCATGGGCCCCCAGGAGCCCTAGAGGCTTCAAAACAGTTGAAAAAAACAACCGAACAACTTCTGACCCGCAAACAGGCACAACGGCGGGATGGATCGAAGGCTCGACAAGCCAGGACGAAAGTCGCGACGCTCGCGAAGTCGGGGGCCGCCAGGAAATGATAATGCATAATGCACAATGCACAATGCACAATGCACAATGCCACAATGCCACAATGCCACAATGCCACAATGCAGGAAGGAGGTAGGGAGGCACGTAGAAAAAGGGAGGAGGTTGAGGGGGGCGGGCGCTCAGAACTGATCCCCGGGAGACCCCCACTGGGGCCCGGGCGCGCCCAAGCGTCGAGCCGCGCCAAGTCGCGGCGACGCGGAGGGCACCCGAAGACCAAGAAACCTCGAACGTCGGTCGATCGTCGAGGAGCCTTGCTGCGAGGGGGATTGGGCCGCCCCGGACGCGAGCAGGTAGGCCGCGCGCGCGCCCAGATGTCACCGTCGCCATCGTTGCCGCCGCCGCCCTCGCCCTCGCGGGCGACTTGCGACGGCGAGGAGGAGATGGAAGAGGGGGAGGGGGAGGCGCTGAACCTTTGCTCCGAGCGAGCACGAGACTGAAGCAGCGGAGTGGTCCCTGTCCGCGCACGTCGCGACCTTGCTTCCTCATCCTCGTCTCTCGACGGCATCCCCCATTCATCCTCGTCAGCGTCGTCATCCCCCCCCTATCCCCCTTTCTTCCTCCTCCTCCGCCTCCCCTTTTCCTCCTCCTCCTCCTCCCCCCCATTCCCCGCCTCCTCCTCCTCCTCCTCCTCCTCGCCCTCCCCCTCCCAGTCCACCTCTGGCCCCCTCCTCCTCTCCTCCTCCTCCTCCCCCCCCTCCCCCTCCTCCCCCCTCCTCCTCCTCCTCCTCCTCCTCCTCCTCCTCCTCCTCCTCCTCCAACGCTACTGGCGGCTGGACAAATCCACGCCATTCCGAGAGACGGCGCCTCTGCGCCCGCGCCCCGGGCAAACCCCCGGGAAAATCGAAAGCCTCGCAGAGCACCTCTCCAGACCATCTTCTTATCCTCCTCCTCCTCCTCCTCCTCCTCCTCCTCCTCCTCCTCCCCCTCCTCTTCCCTCCTCCAGGCAAGCTCAATCGGCAATGATGCCGAGGCTCTCGTAGTAGTCGGCGCTGCTGGAGCCGGCAACCGCGGCGCCGCTCCCCCTCTTGCTGACGAGGTCGACGCGGTGGCGCGGGGCGTGTAGGACCACCGACATGAACATGGCCGCCGCAATTATCCCAGTGAATGCATTGCCTCCGAGATCGCTCAGGAGCGCGTCAGCGGGAATCGCATGGACCCCTCGGCGGCGAAGGTCGCGCTGCAGATGTGCTCGAGAAAGTCCCCTGGGAAGCCCTGGAGGCGCAACATCTCGAAACCGAGCAACGGGCGGACGGCGTGGACAAAGGGCGGAAACAACATCATGCGACCGTGGGGAGTGAGGGTCGGGATGCTGTCGACGTCCTCGCTGTACCGCATGCGCTCGATGGATTGCGACGTGCCCAAGCACGTCAAGCCTGGCCGCTTGACCCCGTGCACCACGATGCCATGCTTCTCACGGTCTGGCAGGTTGTCCACCCAGTCGCTCACCTTCGTCACGAACTTAGCATCTGCGGGGTGGACGCCATTCTTCTCGCACCACTTCCACATTCTCGGCTTCCAATCCTTCTGCTGCTTCTCGAGGTTCTTGCTTTTAGTCGCAACAATGTCGCTGAATGCGCTCTGCAGCTTCTGCGAGCCCTCCTTCTCCAAGAACTTCCCAATGGGCTGCATGTTGTCCTTGCTGCCCAAGCCCTTGGCCTCGGACTGCCCCGTGCCATCGGCTCGATCCTCGACCTCCGAACAGATCCTGAGGCCACGAGCCTGAGGCCACGAGCCTCGAGCTTCGAACAGATCCCCGGGCCGCGAGCTACGAGCCACTTCAGAGCGCAATCTCGAGGCTACGAGCTTCGAACAGATCTGAATTTATCAGCTTCGCAGGGTTGGCGCTCGACCCCGCCCCATGGCCCTCCCCTGACCCGCCCTGCCATTTTCCCTTACCCCGCCTCCCCACCCCACTGCCTTTCACACGCATGCCTCGAAAATGCCGAGACGTCCTCGCCGAGAGGCGGAGGAGGGAGGGGGAAAGCTGGCGCGGAGATGCCGAGAGGCCCAGAGAGGCGTGGGATGCGCAACGGAATCACCGCGCAGCTGAGCACCCTGCCCACTTCACCATCCGGTTCGCCAGCGCGCGCGCCTGCTGCTTCGGCAAGTTGCACATGGCGACGTTCAAGGCCACGCCGAAGACGCGGACCCTCCGCTGGGGGACGCCGAACTCGACCGAAGAGAACTTGTCCGTCGCCACGACCATGCCGATGCTGTCGAAGCCGTCGACCAAGTCCTGCAGGTGCTTCTCGCTGATGAGGTCCTCAGTGTTCTCGATGATCGCCGCGAACACGGGGTGCTCGCGCATGCTGCGAAGCATGGACTGGAAAGTTTCGCCAGAGGATCCTTTCCCCTCCTTCAGAATGTGCATGAGCAGATCCCCCTTGTTCTCGCAATTGAACATGCGGCTGAAGTTCTCGCACGAAAAGCCCCAGAACTCCAACAGCGGCCCCCTGTTGCCGTCGGGCACGGTGCAGCGGCCGCCATGAGCCACGCACTTAGCATTGAGGCCCCCCAGATCCGCGACATCGGCGTAGACGTGCATGCCAGTGCCCTCGCCGGCGCACTCCTCCCGCCTGGTAGCCTTGAGACTCTTCTCGACGGCCATCAAGAAGAGCTGTTTCGCCTCGTCCTGAAGGGGCCCGTTCGGCAATAATGCATAATGCTCGTTATATGTTATATGTTATATGTTGTTATATGTTATATGTTATATATTATATCGTATATCTGTTATATACTATAACAGTACATCTATAATATATAAAATATCAAATCTATAATATAAAAATATAAACATATAACATATAAACATATAAATATAAACTATATAATATATAATATATATATATAATGCAGCGCACACTATACTCTGCATACTATAGAGTATGAAATTTATCACATGTAATTTCTAAGTTAAAATGTAAACCATAGCATACAACATATCATATACCATATACAATATAGCAAAACATATACATATGTCATGTGTACATATGTAATATGTAATATGTATATCATGTATTGCATAGTGGATGTCATACAACATATAATATGCACAATTTCTTTATTGATAAACTATTGTGTTACAGCTATGTGACCTAACATGTGTAAATAGTGTATATATTGTATATATAAGATGATAATATGATAATATATAATATGTAATATGTAATATGTATAATAAATATGTATTATGTAATATGTAATATGTAATATGTATTATGGTACGTATAACCTCTGAAGTGTCCCGATCCTTCTCGCAAGCATACACGTCGTAGACGCCGCCCGCCCCGATGTGCACGCACGCGAGCTCGCAGCAGACGGTGGCCACGTTGGAGCCGCTGCAGCCACTGGCCACGGGCACAACGCCCATGCTGAGCAATCGGGCCTTGAGCTCTTCGCGGTCATCGCACACCATCCCCTCAAGCATCTTCCTGGTGGCCAGGACAATGGGGTCGGCGCGCTTCAGGCCCTCCGAGTCCGCGACCGCGCTCGGGTCAAAGCTCGGCATCCCCCGCTGGCACCTCGGCATCTTCGTCGGCGGCTCCTCCAGCGTCGGGGCCCCCACTCGCGCTGCGGCCTCGCCAGGGCTCGCACGCGGCGCGGCCTCGCCTGGCGAAGGGGTGGCCATGTTGC